ATAGAGAAAATTGTTAAACTTTATTGAAATACACCAAAGAAAACCTAACTAGAGACAGATCAGTGCTCATGGTGTGAACCAAAGTGCAATCAAAATTCTAATAAACTTTAAGTTCATTCTGAAATGTATGTAGAAAACTAAGAATAGCTAAGATATTCCTGAAGAAGAGGACTTGCCTTATAAAATGTAAAGACTTTTAAAATTGTAATAAATAAGCTAAAATTTTAAATTAATTATTGTCACAAGGATAGACAAATAGAGTAATGAAACAGACTAGAAAGCCCCCAAAGAGACCCATAGGTACATGGCAATGTCATTTATGACAAAGCCAAATTGATGTGAATCTGCTTCAGCTCCAACCTCAGAACGTACACATAAATGTATACCTGATCAATTAGAGACTTAATGAAAAAGCAAAACATGGAAGTTTCAAAAACAATCCAGAACTTTATGACCTCAGTGTAGGGAAGGATTGCTTAACTAAGGCACAGAAAGCACAAACCCCAGAGGAAAAGATCCTAAGTCTGTCAACATTAAGATGATATAAAACATTGTTCTTCAAATGATGCTAAGCATCAAGTTAAAGACAAACCACAGACTCAGAAAAAGAAATTGTCAGTACAATGAACTGTGAATTATTTTGCAGAATATTTAATGTGATACTGTTCACATTCAAAATAACAACAAAAACAATTAAAATAGACTAAAGACTGAAGAAGAATCCCAAATGACTTATAAATAAATTAAAAGATGCTTAACTCCATCACTTATCTGGAAAATGCAAATTTCAAAGACAATAGCATCCCATTTCATATTCATTTCATACTACACAGCATCAAATGCTAGCAAGAAAGTAGAATAACCAGAACTCTTGTGTACTGCTTAGTGGGGCATCAGCTAATAAAGCTATGGATATGCACACCCTAGGAGCTAGCAGTTCCATTCCTCATGTATGTGTCCTAAAGAAAATTTATGCACGTGCCAGGAGCCATGTACAAGAATGTGTATACACACACTGTTGGTAGACACAAAAACCTGGAACCAATCCAAATGTCCAACAATTAACCATAATGTATGATAATACTGGGGAAACTGAAGTACAGATATGTGCTACAGCATGTATGTGTCTCAGGAACATAAAATTGAGGGGGAAGGAGTCACTAAAAAATAAATCAATCTGCATCAAGTTCAAAAACACATGATAGCAAGAAGACAGTAAACACAAAAGTCATAATAGTTACTCTTGAGATGGGGTTAGGAAGAGCCCAGGGAATTACAAAGGTAATAAAACTGTTTTTTCTTAAGACACATACAAGGTTCATTTCATTGTCATTCCTTATACTATATTTGTATTTTTAGAAATCTTCTTTTGCATCAGTTCCAAAAATGTAATGATTCAGAATAAAATTAAATTATTTTAGATCAGGAAAAAAAAGGAACAAGAAGCCCTGGTAGCCACCAGCCAGATGAGACAGCAGCCGCCCCTGTGCAGAGCATGTCCATCACCTGCCGTGTGTTACTGTGAGGAGCCTGCTGTTTTGCTTACGGCTTGCTCATGGGTCACTCCTTTACATCACCTGTCTAGTCTTTCTGGGCACCTGAGATTATGACCTTTGCTTTAGAGCTGTGGTTCTCCAAGTGTGGTCCCTGAACCAGCAGCCTTAGCAGTCCCTGGTGACTTGTCACAAATGCTCAGGCACCCCCCCAGGCCTCCTGCATGGAACTCTGGGCATGGTGCCCAACAATCTGTTTCAACAAGCCTTCTGGTGGATTCTGATACTTACATTTGACAACCTTTGTTCTGGAGCACATGGCCCACCCGAACAAAGCCTTCCCTTCCCGGCCACTCTTCCATTCTGAGTCTTTCCAGTCCTCCTGGAGGGCTGCATTTTCAACAAATGGAAGCAGCATGCATTTCCTAGAGCCAGCAGGACCTTCAAAGGAGCCTTCTTCCACTTTTCCTCGCTCAATGCCACCTAAGCCATTGTGCTGTGATTGGTAATCTATGGTCAGAAATTGACTGACATCACTTCAGGAGGGCTTTGTCTGCTCTCTGCAGGCCCAAAGGGTTCTTGCAGGAGTTGTTTTTACAGTGGCTGGATTAACATATGAACAGAGGTTTGCCTAATAGTAAAGGATATTCAGATGGACTATGAAACAGAAAGCTACCTGTTTGTCTCTGATCCCAGGAAATTGTCATGCTGCTTTATTGGAGCCTTTCACTGTAGGAGACACTTTCAGAGTAGCTCTCTTTCTCAGCACCCTGGTACTCTCAAGGCAGAGGGAGGAAATAAGACAGTAGTCATTTATGGGTCCTCGCTGTTCTCAGAACCCAAAGGAGGCTAGCAAGAGTAAAGGGAATTCTAATGCCTGTCTGAAATGCTAACACCCCACCCGATAAAGTTCTCCAAGCTCTACACCTTTTTCCTATGTCTTTTAGTATGAATCATTCACATACCAAATATGTACATATTCACCACCTCCTGAATTTGATGTCACCAATATTGACTTTAAATAGGTTATGAGAAATGTTGTGTCCTGGGAAGTATGTATAACTATAGTACTATCACCTTACTTACAGATAATGGTTTTGGAAATGCAAGTGCTAATTCCATGAAGAAAGAGGTGGTATTTAATTAAAAGGATAGCACGAAGATATAATAGGAAAGAAGTCCAGTTATTGGTATAGTGGACAACATACTGGCTTTGGTTCCCACTAAACTTGGGTTCAAATCTTGGCTCTGCCCTTTTGCCAGATGTATAACCAAGTCATTTAACTTTAGTGTTTTGTTTGTACAATTAGGACTAAAGAAGTACCAAAGCATAGGATTTGTGAGGGTTAAATAAGGTAACACACATAAAGCACATAAAGGCTTTTGCACAGTGTCTGTTACCAAGTAAGTATTCAGCGACACACAGATGATGTTTGTAGTAAGAAATAAAACTAACAAAATAGGTCAGACCAAGTTCTCAATGGCTGGATAAGCTTTGGAGTTCAGATCTTTCCTAAGGAACTCATGGAGGTTTTGATAAGAAATGTGATATATTCAAAGCCTCCTTCAGGAAGATGTATTTGTATGTGAAGTACATTGGAAAGAAGGAAGAATTAGAGACAGAACTTGTGAGCAGTTACAGTAGTCCAAAATGGAACTGCCCTAGGATACAGAGCAGGCGGCATTCATGAGTTAGAGCTGAGTTCGCTGATGGAGGGAGAGGAGACATGGCACGAGGACTGTTCCCGGGAAAGGTGAAGGATAGCAGCGCCATTGAGAAGAGGGCAAACACAGTTGGCGTGGAGCAGACAACGTTATCAGAAGGGAAACTCATCCATAAGGGGAAAGGTGTCGACATCAGAGGAAACAGAAGACCTTACAAAATGCAGGATAAGCAGTGTAAGCCAGCCAAACCTTATGAGAGAAACCAAGAAAACGGCACAAACTCTCTCCATATTTCCTAAGCAAGAGGCAGTCAAGCACACAGAAGGAGCTCAACAGTTGGATTGAGATCCCGGGCAAGGCCGCTCTGCACAGCCGTCATCCTTGTTGTTCTGGTAACTGATCCCTCTTCTGAGAAAACCCGCGAGCATGTGAAGCAAACCATAACCAGAGGCATAACTACACCTGGCTCAGCAACAGCTCGGTGAAGGTCTTAGGAGGAGAAGGGAGGGATGGAAGCTTCTAGTCAGCCACACGATCAGGAGGGTGAACCACCGACACACTCAAAACCATTCTGCACCCAGACACCCACAGTTCTTCACTTTCAGCAAGGTTTTCAATCAATTACATGAGCTTTCAAACTTTGTTATAAAATAGGCTTCCTGTTAGATGATTTTGCCCGACCAGAGGCTAACATAAGTGTCCTAAGCACGTTTAAGGGCTGAGCTGTGCCGTGCAGCGGTTAGATGCAATAAATGCATTTTCAACTAGGATATTTTCAATTTACCCTGGGCTTATTGGGATATAACCCCGTTGTTAAGTCAAGGAAGAACTGTTATATTAAAATTTAGACTACTCAGGGGATGACTGAGTTTTAGTTAATATTTTTGACATTAAATGATCTAGGCAAAAGATCTAAGGGGAGTATTACCCTCTGCTTTACCATAATTAGCATAAAGTGTGTCTGATGCTCCTATTTCTTAACTTACATATAATAAAATTCACTATTTTGGGAGTAGAGTTATGCGAGTTTTCACAAGCATGCAGGGACACATCACCACCACTGCAGTGAAGATACAGAACAGCTCTACCCCTGCAAGCCTCTCCTCACGCTGTCCCTTTGCAGTCAGATCACTTCTCCTCCCCAACCCCCAGCAACTGCTGATCTTTTGACAACTGCATATTTGACTAAGGCCTGAGAGATTTCTTTATGATGATTTGCTGGTCTAATAACAATAGTAACAGCAATAATAATAAATACATATGATACACTGCCAATGTGCCAGGCACAACTTGAAACTCTGTATAGATGAGAAACTAAGACTTTGAGAAAGAAAAGAGGAAGGAAGACAGACAGACTTGCCCATGGTCACAAAGCGGGCCCAGCTTGAGTCCCGGCATTAACTCCTAAGTCTGTCTCCTTAACTAACCTCTATCTGCCTCTGCCTCTGTGGAAGACACAGAAAGTAGGACAAAATAAAAGGAATTTCTACCAATTTCAGGAAGTTCCATTTAGACAGAGAGATTGCTGTTCTCTAAAAATTAACAAAACTTACATAAAAATTTGATTAATTATACCACTAAAACAATAATTGGGTGTAACATAAAATGAGGCCAGAATCCTAGAGTACCTTCCTTACAACCTTCCTGATATGCAGTGAAGATAAAGCCTAGAAATGTTACGTTCTCCCTCATAAAGTTGATCAGATCTGTAAAGCAAAGTAGAAGAATTTCCTGATTGAATACTGAAATGCCATTTTAATGCTCTAAATGTCAACTTCCTCTTAAATCTACCAAAAAAAAAAGAGAATGAGAGCTTTAATCTCAGTCTTGTATGTATTTCAGGTTGGAGTCGCCAACCCGGTCTCTGGTAATGGAGGCCCCCAAAGGAGTAGAAATAAATGCAGAAGCCGGCAATCTGGAAGCCACCTGCAGAACAGAGCTGAGACTGGAGTCCAAAGATGGAGAGGTAGGGGTGAGAAGGATGACGTCCACAGATACACAGTTCTGACAAGCTAAACTTTCCCCAAACTGGTTTGTTATCCCTTTGCCACTAAACTTGACCCTACACTATAACAACAAAAGGAGCCAATCAGAAGGTTTTACTTCTGGAATAAATACATTGAACAGCATGATTAAGCCAAATCCACAGCACATAAAAGTTATGACATTACTTGTCAACTGCTGAGAAAACAGCATGTATTGCAAGTACAGCATTACATATATGGCTGCAAAACTGCATGCTATTTCCAAATTCTCTCTCATCACTTTAAAATAATTTTTAGATAGCCATCATAATTAAACTGTATATCACACTCATCTGGCTAAAGGTGAACTTAATTTACCTGTCCTCATTTTTAAAGTTTGCATTGTATGTTTCCACTTCACTGAGAAGAGAGAATCAGGTCCAACAGCCATCCCAAATCAGAACATTCAAAGAGAGTAAAATTGGACAGCCAGACGTTGAAGGCTCTTACCCAACATGTTCATTCTCTTACCCAACGTAATCCTACCTTGGTGAACAGAGAGCTGCTTGCATTTTTGCAAGCAAGGTAAACCAAATCCCCAGAGAAAATATGATTTAAACTGCAACCTTTTTCAAATGCCTTCATCATGTTCATAAGCAACTTCTCTATTTAAGAATTTTAAAAAGAAGGGAAAATGTGTTTTTATTTTTAAAGCAAAATTCTATTCCACTTCTCTCATCTCCTTCGAGGTAATCTCTCCACCTACTTCTGTACACCAAGCGGGCCTTCTGATTGGCCTGGCATTTGCTATCTTTGTTTGAAAAGAGTGAGTCAGAGCATTCAGCTATCAAAACTGTTGGCAAAGAGCCACAAACTCCAAACCACACACATTTGGAAATGGTGACTGTATCACCTGTGTAGTTTATAGCTATCAGAATCCAGACTGGGGGAAATGGTCGTAATCTTAACAGTCATTTAGGACTGGAAAGTGCTGCGTATTCCTGAAGACTTACCCTGCACATAGACACATTTGGGCTCTGAGAGGTCCCATAATAAAGAAAATTGTTAACCCAGCGTTTCCAAATTTCATTTCACTCTAGGACTCTATTCAATTCTACATGATATACTTCTGCAAACTGCTAATAGAGACCAGTGCTACATTGTCCTGCTAGAAGATAAGCTTCTGTGAGGCTAGAGACTTTATCTGTTCTTGTTCATCTCCACATTCCCTGTGCCTAGAATACTCAATACATGGGAGAGGCTCACTCGATTTAAGTAGAATTGGACATTCATCTACTGTTTCTGAATGTCGAGAGAGTAAATGACAACCTCTAACGGACTCTTTCCTTCCTATTCACTCTCTTTAGATTAAGTTAGATGCTGCGAAAATCAAACTACCTAGACTGCCTCATGGATCCTACACGCCCACAGGAACGAGGCAGAAGGTCTTCGAGATCTGCGTCTGTGCCAATGGGAGATTATTCCTGTCCCAGGCAGGAACTGGTTCCACTTGTCAGATAAACACAAGTGTCTGCCTTTGAGAGACTATCCATAGTGGACGTTGTCAGCAGCATAAAGGCCTTTTTTTTAAAAGGTTTTAGACATTGGCTGCCAGCTATTTTTACTAGAACACAGAAAGCCTATCAAAGACCTTTGGAGTGTGTGTGGGTATGGGTGTGTGTGTGCGTGCGTGTGTTTGTGTGTGGGTGGATATAAATATATATAAATATATATAAATAAATATATATATATCCTCTGTATAAAATGAGGTTTCAGTACAAAAGGAACCATGGGTGACCCTGTGATATCCACTGTCATTTCCATCCCAACCCCACCACCTACATAATAATATCAAAACACTGATTCAGGCCCAGTATTCCCCAGACCCTTCAGAATCACACAGTGTATCAGACACTTACTGAATATTCACCCCCATGTTTAACAGCGTATCTTCTCCCTTAGTGTCATTACAGGGCAGTGATGGCGGGAATCTCCAACTCCGTGCTCAGGTGCTGAGACCCTTGTATTAAAAATACACATTCGGTTTCCTTTTTTAGCCTTAGTAAGGCCGGCCAACGTCTCCCTCTTCGAGCAAGGGATGGGGCTGTGCCCTAGAAGTCAGCTGTCAAAACCTAAAAGGGCTGATCTGCCTTTGCAGCCAAATGTTTCAGGGCTTCTGTAGTCAGAAGAATGAGGAGGAGGAATTTTAGCAAAATTGGCACTGCTCACTCAAATCCTGCTATCTTACTTCCTTCAAACTCACATGTTATCCCACAGCCAAAATAGGGGCTACAAATCAGCACAAAACAGGGTAACAGCTGCTCCTCAGTCGGCTGGAAGCTACTCAATGGCCTGACAGGCAAGAAATAAATAGCGGTATGTCTTTGTTTAAAGGAGAGAAAATGGCTCAAAAGCTGTTGTGTCCTCACTTCCGACTGTTTGCAACACACCTTAGCCCAAAATGATCAAGTGAATCAGAATTCTTCAGAGCAGAACCCTACTCCATCCGAAGTGAGTTGGAGATAGAAATCTAAGAGTAGTACAGGGAACCTAATTATTTTTTGTATGTGTCTTGGGATTGGTAGGTGATTTAGAGACATGCCTTTTATTTTCAAAGGCATGCACCAACTCTCCAGCTTCAGTCTTCTTATATGTTGTTTCAGTGTTGGGATATTCATAGTCCTAAATCCACCATTATGTTTTTCCCAAGAATAGTGACCCAAGAATCAGAATCACAGATCTAAAAAGGTACTCCATGCCCCAGAAACGTTCACTGAAAATTAAAATAAACTGAGTCAAGTGTTTTATCAGAAACACTGTGTCTCCCAGGGCCCAGAAGCATGTGCTCCCATATGTGGAAGCAGCTCTCTATTCCCGCCATCAACTACCTCTCATCACTCCACCTTCATCGTCCTGCTCCAGGGTCACCCTGGCCAGCTCTTGTGCTGGGACAGGGGATTACACCATCTCTGTTCAAAGAGGGGGAAATGTGCCTATGCCTTAAGTCAATGCACTCAGCAAGGAGAAGCACATCTTATTTATCTTGTTACCTGTAGTTTATTTTAGGTGATTAGAGGGTAATGGTTTAGTAATGACTGGGCATCTTAAAAGCTGGTAGACAAACCAAGTGGCTGACAGACGTGGACTCGGAACCCAGAATGGAGACAGATATGGCTTAGAGAGTCCTGGATGCCACTGGGCAAGAAGTGGCTCCACAATCCTAAACGAAGTAGTGTTTATAGGCCTGAGTGGATTTGTTTTTTCCTCAACAAGTTTCTGATTTTTTTTTATTTCACAAGCAGGGAAAGATTTGTCATTAGTGATGAATACGTTGTTTGATATTTTTGAGATGACACTGAAGTATCAGGCTGAGTTCTGCACACATGGTCTATAAAAGCAAGTTGTGCATTGCTTAGTCACTTGGGTGAGGATCCTAGCCTGACCAGTGGTCCTACTGGCTTCCAGACCCTAGGATCCCACCAGTCACTCCTCCTCCATATCCCATGTAGAAGAATTGAGTTGTTCAAGGGCAAGACTGCTTAGTTTGCAATGCTAGAGTCTAAAAAATGAAAACCATAAAAAAAAATCAAGTTGCTCTGAATCATTAATATTTATGTCCTGCAGAGTCATGTTGTCAGAATCTGTGTGTACTACACACAGGGTTTTGTCAAACCAGGAGAGGCCCTCTGGGCTACTGAGAGCATCTACCCCATATCATTCAGATAAAGAGTAGTGACTACAAGGTCCTTTGTAGCTAAATACCTAAGACAAAGTATTTTTAAGCAGGCAGGCTACCTTTAGATTTTGACAATTCAAATACATAATCTATAAATGACAGGAAAGATTCCCTGAACCTCTTTCCTAATTTTGTTCCAATCATTACATGAAATTCTGAGATCAGCACCTTGGGAATTTTATGCCAATAAAAAAGGCTAGTGTGATCCTACTTGCAGAATTTAATCATAAAGATAATCAGACTCAAATAGAGTAAAAATAATAATGGTAAGCAAGAATAAAAATCAAGTATCTACATGGACTGACATGATAAAAAAAAATTCTGATTTTCATTCATGCTAAGTAACCACAATATACTAGGTAATAGGAAATTTAGCAAGAATTAAATCACGTATTTCAGTTCAGACATCAGAATTCAGTAAAATGCATTTTAAATTCTTCAACATACATTTTTTCCTCCCAAATTCCTCCAACTAGAAATATTTGTCCATGGTCATGAGAGAAAGTTTTACCTGAGTTCTGGAAAAAATATCTTTTACATTAAATTCTGATAACCTTTAATTTTAAAAAAGTGAGATTCTAATTTTTATATGTATTTTCTAGACAATCATACCGTTTAGTATATTCATCAGTGAGTGGATGGCATGACAAACAAAAAGTTCAAATGAATCTTCAATATTCTAGAAGTTCTAGTGTACTAATAATTTTCAGAACAATTTTATAAATGAAAAACCAATCTCCAAGTATGTTTGGCAATTAGTTCTATTTGTTATCTGCTCAATAAGTCATAAAAGTTAAGTCTTGAGAAACTACTGGGGTATGATAGAGGTTTTAAAAAGCCCTTATGGTGGCATCTGTATACATGGAAACTTGGTGTGAGGCTTTTTAGTCATTGTTGTACAAGGGACAGATCCTATAAACTTGAATTGCCTTTAATTTCCCTTAGGTGAGTTTTCTTTTGGATTATTTTCATTGCATATCCATCTACCACAGACCAAAGATTGCTTGAGGTTTAACTCTAGAGCAGAGGTCAGCAAACTCTGGTCCTAAATCAAATCTGGTTCATCACCTGTTTTTGTAAATAAAATGTTATTGTAATGCAGCCACATCCATTCATTGATATGTTGTCTGTGGCTGATTTCATACTGTAACAGCAGGGCTGAATGTGCCACAGGCATCATAGCTTGCAAAGCATAAAATCCCTACCATTTGGCTCTATACAGAAAAAGTTTGCTGACCCCTGACATAGAGGTGATTTGTGGTATGTGTTGAATACATCAGAAGAGAAAGCAAACTTCATGATAGCATGAAGTAAGCCTACCTTTCTATGTTTGCTGGGGAATATAAATTCTTGGCTATAGAAAAAAGTCAGCCTTATGCTACTTGTAAAAGTGATCCACTTGTCTGAGAAATGTAGGCTCACAGGGCTCATGGGATGCTGGGGAGCAGTGAGTTTGGAATTAAAAGAGAGCTTAGTGTAACAGGAGAGCCGTGACCTTCCAACTCATTTTGTCTTAGGACCCTTCATAAATAAGTGGTTTCTTTGGTCGTTATCTTATGTGACAAAATGAAGTAGGAGTCCTATGACTTAAATTTAGACTCTCTTTCCTAAAGAATTATTTCTGCAATCTCAGAGGTTTCCATGTCACCATCGCATATTCCAGAAATATGCCCATTCCATGGCCCTCTAGAATTCTCTGGACCTAACACATCTTTTGACATCCATCACCTCAGTTGTTCACAGTTCTGGTATGCTTGCCGTTCCTATGAGTGCACCAGGCCAGAAGGTGTGGTGGAACCAATAAATAATTAGAGATATTGGAAGAAGCATCTTAAATTATGTAAGAAGAAAAAAATGTAGTGCAACTCTTTCATGAAGCTATTCTGGGGGAAACCAAATTAATGCCATTTGGTTTTGTTTCTGAGGACCTGGGTTTTTGTTCTTTGGTGTAGTGGGAGTGCAATTCAAAGATGAATTCCAACATCTCTGCCTCTGTGTGGTAAGGCAGGTTCCTACCAGAGCAACATCTCTATTGCTAATCCAGGGCTTCATACTCACACTCAATGTTGTTAAAATAGCCCCAGTTAGGAATGATTCTTGGCAGCATGCTTATTCATGTCTAGGAGGAAAGTTGTGGGGTTTTTTAATGAAAACAACCACCATTTACCAGAGCCTAATCAACATCAATTAAAGGAGTCCTTTGGCATTTTATGTGGATTTAACCAAAAGAGGGTTAAATTGGCAGCACTGCCCTTCATAAGAACAGCTACATAAGAATATCTTGCTTTTGTTTATTTTGGGCAAAAGGTAGCATTATGTTGGGACCAATGAGGTAAATTGATCCACATAAGCACCTGATCTTTATTTTATAAGGCTCTCTGAAAGGTGAAATCTCATCTAAATAAGCTGTAAATAAGATCCATTTCCTCTCTTTCCCCTGGGCTGGGAAATCTTAGGCACAAAAAGGATAATGAAGCAGTTCCTGGAATGATACATTTGCATGGTGCCCCAGTAGCAGGTGGAAAAAGAAGTTACAATAAAAGAAACAACCTCAGAAAACAGGCCTTTTATCTCAAAGATAAAATGTCTCTTTTTGGTCTTTCATCTTCCCCCTGGGTAGAAGGTTCCTCCAGTTCCAACATATTTCCATTAAAAATAGTCAAAAGCTACTGCACTGGGATGTCAGATGCATCTCTTTCTTTGTGGTAATCGGAATTTAAAATTATACAGTTGCCTATGAATTTCTCATTCACAAAGCTAAACCACTGATAAGAGATAAAGCAGTCTGAAGCCTGCTGCTTCGGCCAGCGCAGCACACCACCCGCAGTCTGAAGCCTGCTGCTTCGGTCAGCGCAGCACACCACCCACATTAACACTTTCACAGGCAATGTGATTTCTATGGTTCCTTAAAAGCTTTCTTCATAATGAGCCCTTGAAATTTCTCAAGGTAGGTCTGAATGGCAAAGGGTAAATAATTATTTGTGGGAGGTCCTCGTTCTGAGTAGTATTGGAGCACAAGTGTGAAAGAAAATGCCCCATGTGGGGTGGCCCATGCTCACATACATTTATTTTCCTTGGTTCCCCCCCCCTCAGCACACATACTTCCCTTTACAGACCCTGACAGAATAGGAAATTAGCATCTTCCTTTGAGAAAAAGAGCAGCTCAAGAATGTGGGAGCCCTTGATGCAATAGGAAGTGTGATGTCATACATACTGATGAGGTTATCAAATCCATCAATAAACAATCTCAAACATCCCAACAGCAAAGCCAAGTGCTACTCCTCAACTGCAGCCCAGCAAGTAGGGATATGAGTTCCACTTCCACAAGGTTTACAATCAGAATAGAACACAGGAGAAGTTGCTGTAGGTAAGAAGTATGTTTAGAGTCCAAATCCACACATCTTAATAGAAAGCCAGAATAATAATGTACCAAATGCATCTTTAGGCATGTAGACATGCTCACTAGCAGATGAGGGGGCCATGTTTCATCACTATTAGCTAAGGTCAGATACATGAGGCTGCTGTCTTTGGGAGAACAGAAAAGGGAACAGCCTTTTTCTACATTTGGGTTATTTTGGTCAAATCAGAGCTAGCTCAGATTTCATAAGGTAAGAAATTCCAGGCTGATCAATTAAGTCCCTTAAGAAAAGTCTAGCAATGGACTGTTTGAAGGCAGGTAGATGATGTTTGCTGACAAGGAAGATGGTGGTGTTTCTTTGTCCCCATATTCATCTAATTCATGAGGTTCTAACGTTTCAGAGGTCATAGTTTCTTTGAGAATCTAAGCAAAGTTCCTAACCTTCTTTCCAAAAAGAATCACACCCAGTAAATTTTACTTAAAATAAAAGAAGTTTTCTTGGACTCAAAACCTACTCCAAGATACGGCAAAAGTTGGATTATATTCTCCAATTATAATCATTTGTATTCATTAAGCACTTATGTGCTAGGCATTGTGCTGTTTTACATGCATTCACTTATTTCATCCTCAACACAGGGTTCTTTTATAGTTCCAATTGACAGATGTGGAAACTGAGGCTTAGAGAGGTTAAGAAGCTTGCCCAAAGCCACTGCTAGAAAATGGCTGAGCTGGAATATGGGTCTAACTCCACACCACTGTGCTATGAAGTCACCAATATGTCAATTTTTCAAGCTGTGAGATGTGCCTCCTACCAGCTTTTAGTCTAGATCTTCTTGCGTGGATGAGGCTAATAAAACTTTTATCTCCCTCCTATCTATAGTCTCTCATCCATGACAGCATCTAGTAGTAGAAATGCCTGTGGTGAAAACATAAGTGGTCTGTCTGAATAATACAATCTGGAGTCAAAAAAATGAGTTTGCTCTCTGGGTGGTTCTTGCTAAGTCAGACTGCTTGCCCTTACAAATTGAAAGATGGCTGGGTTGCCAGCCTTATGTTTAAGAGTAAATGTGAATACTGAGTGATCTATAGGTATGGATAAACAAAACAGCATTTCTGTACACATACATCTCCTTCCCCTGTTCTATACTTCAGAAACCAAATATCTTATCTTAGGTGAGGTCTTAAGACACCATTTGGTTATCATACATCCCTATCTTTACTTGTGGCAAAACTTAGAGTCAAATAGAAGGAAGCTCAATGTCTATCACTGTCCCTGTTTCCTTGAAAGAAGACAGGACAAGTAAGGACTCAATCAGCATTAAGTATTCAATACCCAAGCCAGCCACTTTGGCCCTAATAACGCTTGAGACCCACACCCCGTATCTTGCCAGTCATCACTAATGAGCCACAGCCTCCCCATGGGCAGAATTCTCATCAAAGCACTCAGGCTCTCACTGTCAGTTGATCTGAGTTGTAAAGGGCACCCATTTGCCAATTCTTATTTAAACACCCTCTAACCTGGGACCTGTACAGCTGTTTTATACTGGTTTCCTAGATTTAGCAACAAGGTTGGTGGCATTCCAACTACTAAAGAAGATGAGTACATCTGAGCTTCCTTACAACCTGGTGGCTTTTGAGCACTTTCATCTTCTGAACAAAGGGATCAGGGTTTGATCTGTGAGAGTCAAAATACCTAAAATCATTTTGAAGAATTAACTCAGCCAAAGACCATCCGAACAGGTTATAAACCAGTATGCCCGTGTTAAGGCCCTGCTTTGTCAGCCTGCCCCCAACCAGAGCTGAGAGATCACAGCAGCAAAGAGACTGGGGTTCATCCTGCTTTTCGTGCTTTCTCAACAGCGCTAGCTCACCCACCAGGGGTGGTGGACACAGCTGGTCACTGCTCCCAACAGACTCAGCTCTCAGACCAGCCAGGGTCCTCTAGTGCTCCTCTGGCTCAAAGTCTCCATAAAACCTTAGTAAAAGAATGAGCTAAAAAAAAAAGTTAAGGACCCTGCTTTGGGGCAGGTCATTCAAGGATTGTCTTTTGCTGGTGGGTGGGTGTCCCAGTGGCAAATCAGGAAGGGGTTCCTTTAAAGAGTCTCATGGGACTAACATCACCAGAGCCAGAAGTCAGGTTCTGGGGGAGGGAGGGGAGATTCAGGCCAAGTAAAGGGAAGAGTTGGCACACTTGAATTTGGGGTGGACGCAAAATCAGCCTAATTTGTATCCTGTGTTTTGGTGAGAGGGGAAATGGAGTTTTCCATGGGAAACTTTCCATGTGTTAACTACCTCCTCAGTGAAGTTACTCTCCTTCTGAGGCCATGAAGAAGCAGAAACACCTCTTAAGGAGGTCATGTTTTAGAAGGAAAAGGGAGAGGACGCACCTCTACCTGCTGGCCACATGTGCTCCTGAGAAGCCAGACTGTGGTGCTTCAACAGAAAAGATGAGGTCATAGAAGTGCCATTTGCTTCGATTTGAAAAAGGAATCCCATTCCCATAAAGCAAATGAGTTCATCCTTTGGGTTCTTTTTAGGTTTTATTTTGTTTTTCTCCAGGTGTGGGTGTGATGTAAGAAGAGCTTTTTAGCTTTGTTTTGTTTTGAATAACATCAATCCTTGCACACTCTATGCAAAAATTTTGTAAGCATTGCAATAATGCTATGAATTACAAGGAAATATTTTAACTTTATTACACTTTCTGTACAAAAAAAATTTGTATTTAATATTATTTCGACTGCAGTCTTGTAAAATATATTAATAAAAATAATGATTGGTAAGAAGGAAAGCACCCTTGTCCACTTCTTTAGGGAATTCCTCTTTCACAATTGCTAAAGTAGTCACTCCTGTTGATTCTACTGCAGAAATAAATTTTTGGATTAACTTCTCTTCCACATCTCTTTGATGTGGCCAAACATGTTGATTAAGCTATTTTGGCCCTCAGGAAGAGATTCACACAGGCTGCCTTATAAAAGAGAGCTTATTATAAGGTAGACATGGTCTAGGATGGGGGAGTCCCCAGGATTTGGAGCAGGTCAAGGGATCAGCCATCCTCTACTGCTCTCCTGATAACCTGTATGTGTTCCTTTTGCTACAGTTTACCACGCCCCTCTCTAAATCAGTGAAGAAGCCAGTCTGACTGGTCACCATCAGGTAAAACCATTTTAATCAGGCTACCTTAGTGTTCCTGGTCAGCCTACGCATGAGCCATCTTTGAGCCAGGGGCCCATCCCTGGTCAATCAGTTCTTATCCTCTTTCAAAGAACACCTTAGCATTGCTCCCCTAGATGGGGTCCTGGGTGAAACAGTTTATGACAGAAGGTATCATGGCAGAACCACTCAGATACACCTGCCACAATCAATCCTCCATTTTGAGCATCTCACATCTGGCCTTCCACAATACTGAGGTTTTGCACATACTATTCCATCCACCTAGACTGCCCTTCCATCTAGCACCACCACACCCCAGAATATCCTCCTTCAGGATCCCAATCCCATCGTATCTCTGGGGCCCTCATCATTCTTCCTTCACTCCCCTGTTGATTTGTTCTAATTTCTCTTGTAATTCTACATTATACTATGATTTACCTATTAACCTACCAACCTAGAACTCTAGAATGTTTATATTCATTTCTAAAGTCTATAGAGACTGTTGTAAGATAGTCATTTCCTCATCTAGAAAATCTAAGACAAATTTTACATATCCAATACATGACAGAACCAGTGCCCATTCCCAACTGTATTTTGATTATAGATTATATCTCATCAAATTTAGCTGCTGACTACAAATGACACTGAAGCAACATTACAGAATCCCCAAGGTAAAAGACTATAATAAGTATTTTTCCCAGGTAGGGTGCAGTTTATCTCCAAAGATGCAGTAATCTTATCATCTGGTTTCTTTTTTGTGAGGAAAATTTACCAAAAAAAAATTAAGACAAAGTGAATGAAATCAGAGAAATCACCATTCAAGAGACCTGATGCACTGGCGAAAAAAATACTGAAGCATCGCTAAAATGATACAGAAACCCTAATGAGAGGGAAAGGTAGTTCCTGGCAAGTCAAACTAATTGACACCATTGTTTATACAAAATTAGAAAGCTGATGAACTCTTAGGAAGCTAAAAAGAGCTATATTCCTTTCCCTATAAGGAAGGACATTTTTTTAAGTGGCAATTTGGTATACACCAGCAACTTTCACATTTCCTCTGATTTTGACTTCTTTGAAAAAGATGTAAGATGCTGTAACCCCCTTAATAACCCAGGATCACTTCATCTGAGGAAAAGAGCACAGCATGCAGAGGTGGAGAATAGGAATCAGAGTACAGAGACAACCACATTTCAGAGAAGCTTGTGAGCAACATGTCTGAATTAGCTTCTCCAATTAAGTCCAATGACAGCTTGATTTTAGTCTGTGACTGCAAAGTAATTAAAACCCTCAAACACTTGTAGTTGAGGACCACTT